TACTGACATAAATGAACATTTGCACGATATTCTAATTTTTCGAGTTTCACCTGTATAGCTAGCTAGGTCGGACGCAGAAGAGAAAAATATATGAACTCCAGCCTAGTATAGTTTTCTGCCCCTGCTCAATTGTTTACTTGCAGTGGTTTGAACAATATTGCATCTTTACTATGTGGGTTAAATATGTGTTGTTCAAGCAGTCCATAATTTTTAATTCTTAGTATATTGTCACTAAACTATCATCTTACAAATTAATTACAAAATAAATAAATAAAAACCTTTGCTGCTATGATGTGCCTAGCTTTTTTTAATTTTGACTTTTACCCTTGAAAGTGAATCAGTTTTAGAACTAGATCCTGTTCAGCAACATTATTACAACATTTAAAAACCTCACATTGAATTTCTAAATGCTTGATTGGAGGGATTTATAAATGTATCATTTGGATGGATAATATGCATGCTATATCTTCCTTCTCTCATTTGAGAGCATTTATAATTATTTCTAGTTATAATTTCTGTTCTTTTTAAATACAGGACAGCACAATTATCTCTGTGCTGGAAGAAATGATTGTATTATTGATAAAATTCGGAGAAAAAACTGCCCTGCTTGCCGCTACCGGAAATGTCTTCAAGCTGGGATGAACCTTGAAGGTAAATTCCAATACTTACTTTTGTTCCTGCTCAGACAGGAGTGGGGTTATAGGTATTGCTGCTCTTTTGTTCCTACTTGGTTTTTTTTAAACCAGGTATCCGCTACACGCATTATTCTTGTCATATATGTTGCTCTTCTTGAATTCTTTGCCAGTCTCCACTTAGGTAATTATATGTATTGGTTTTCATAGTTCAGACATCTGTGCATCAGGTGTTGAACTTTAGGATGCTGCACACTTGTCAAGCTTAGGTCCAGTTTCACGAGTCTTCTGCGCCTGTTTAAATGTAACACCGTTTGCAGGAATAATACATGAAGGGTCTTAAACTGATGACAGCAACATTCTAATGTTTAGATTAGGTATTTATTACTGCTTATACAGTGGGGCAAAAAAGTATTTAGTCAGCCACCAATTGTGCAAGTTTTCCTGCTGTACGG